CCCAGCCAGCCATGCTGGCTGGGGAATTCTGGGAATTGAAGTCCACCCATCTTAAAGTCGCTGAGGTTGAGGAGCACTACTTTAGAAGCAAAGGGGAGATGAACCAGGCACAGTTGGGGGGCGGTTTCAGCCCCACATCTCTGTCGCCAGCTTCTTGCTTGTGAAAAATACTACAGCCTTTAATGCTGGACAAGGAGGATGAAAACCTGCTCTAAAGGTACTGGGGTAAAGAAGAAGGTGGGACTGTTGGATCCTTGGACAGGGAATGTGAACAGCCAGAGGTGCCCAGCAGGAGCAAACGTGGGTTTGTTGTGACGGCTGTTCCCTTTCCTTGCTTCACGAATTTGGATTCAGAGCCGTCCTCCTGCGGCCATAACCATTGCAACCCCAACTGAAGATTCAGGGTGATCTGTTGGAGGGTGTCAAAAAAGTTAAAATGGATGCTGTGATGAAAGCCCCCTCCTCTTTTTAGATGGGGCTTCAATGGCCCGGTTGCAGCCACCATTTTGACTTTTTTGACACCCTCCTGCAGACACCTGTAAAAGTTTCATAGCCAGGAATAGTAGGGGGGAGGTGTCTTACCGATGATTATTTGCATGTCCTCCCGTACTACTCATTCCTGTGATTATATTATGATTCATATTTCATTAGATTGAAGGTTTATGACAGCTCGTATTTCCTCTTGGAGCTCACAGCCGTGTGCATAGCCCTCGCCCCTCTCATTTTTTCCCCACGACAACCCTGTGGGGTAGGCCAGGGGGAGTAAGAAGACGGGTCCTAAGTCCGCAGTGGCGCTCCATGGCTGAGGATGGCCTGGAACCGATATCCCCTCTTCAAGGACCTTCTCCAGCTGCTGAATGGTTCTCCACCCATTCCTGAGTCAGCAACTAGATTGGCACACCGTTTGGCCTGGCACCGCGGATCCTTTCTGCCCCTCTGCCAGGCCTCCCAAGGTCGGGGGTGCCAAAGCTGGGCAGATCGGACGCCCCCCGAGGCTCGCCAGCCAGGTCTGGATCCGAACGAGGGGAAAATGCGGCTTTACGATCCGCCCCGCTAAGGACGCCTCAAGGCTGGCTCGCTCGCGGGCCGGAGACGAGCCGAGCCGAGGGCGCCGCCGTGGGCAGGAAGACCGGCTGCCCGGGCAGGCCCGCTGTCGCCCCTTCCCCGCGCTGCCTGCGGTCCCGCCGACGGCCGCTGCCCCGGGCACGCGAGGCCCCGCCCGCCGGAGAAGCGCACGGGGAACTTTCGACCCTGCCAAGGGAGGGGGCCGCGGCGCCTCCCCGCCTCCCCCGGCGCCTCTCGCCCGCCGAAGGGCGAGGCTGCCCTTGCAGAAGGCGGCG